TCGGACTACACTCGAGTGTACAGTGTTTGTAAAATACTTCGGCCAGGGCAACAAAAAGTACATAAATAAAAAAGAATAGCAATAATTAAATGGATGAAAACCAATTGTACTGAAGTCGATTCCTTCTTTCTGTTTCATATTTTCAAATTTCACAATCATTCACACAGAATGGAGATGCGGACCAATGCAAATGAGTCTTCACAGATGTTTGTCTTACCTGACTGGATAATTTCACCAAAGAAACTGGCCTTGGTCTCTCCTATCTTTTTCAGTGCTCGATGGGTAATCCCGAATCCTGAATGGGCGTCATTGTAGGCCCAAACAGATCCACGTAGGTCCTCAAACACTTCATATCTATCACTGAAATATAACCAATACAATTATGATTAGCATTGAAACATTTACATAGTATTCAGAGCCACATATCTTCCTTCTACATAGTGGTACCGCAAACCTTTACTAAATCATGCCACCACGTAGTTAGACCTGGTAGTTAGCTCTTGCAAATTGTCTTGCAAAGAAATTGTTCCATCAACAAACTGAGAATATGACAACATCAATGTGATTGTCAGGCAAGGCAGAGACTGATTTCAGATGACAACAACCCCAGCAAGTGAAAAAAAAACCTCTTATCAAATGACAACCAACATTCGCCCAGGAAAGGAAAAAAAAGGCAACTGATGAACAGAAATCAAATCGTGATTTGTGAATAAAAACTTCCATTTGACTTCATTCCTTATCAGATTGAATATCAAACAGAAGGGAAGTACAGAATTGTTGTATGGGTAAATAAATCAACATCCAAGGGAAGAACACAATTCATTTTGGGAAAAAAGACAGCAAGGATTGATAGAAAAGAAAATCTCCTCTTTTTTGCTGTTGTCTACATCTACCTTTGTACATAGTAAAATTAGTGCTTTAAAGATGTTTTGAATGAATGTTACTTTCCGTCATCAGTAACATGACCAAATTGAAACCAACTACCAACTACCAACTCCTCCGTCCAATCACATCCATATACTGTCATTATCCCCGAAGCCATTTTCAGGATGTATTCATCAAGTTTATTCCCATGTGACTGGTTGAACCAACTACAGGATGAGTCCAAAAGAAAGTGACCGAATTTGAAAAAAAAATATTAAAAATATTTAGCTTGTTCTATGTTAAAAATTAACACGGATAAGGCCAAAAAAAAAAATTCGGTCTCTGGTCAGACCAAAGTTCCGGAATTGACGCGGCCACGCGGATTTTTTTTTTTTTTTGGCTTTTTTTTTTTTTTCTTCAAGCTTGGATTGTACAGACAAGGTAGGTACTATTTTGCTTTTTTGGTGTCCTCATGTACATTCGTGTCCTCCATAATTTGCCTTGGTGCTTTCGATCATTTGCCTTGGTGCAATTTCCCATTCCTTGGTGCTCTGTGGTAAAAAAAAATTGAGGTGCGGAAATAGAGGGCGCTGTTGGAGCTACCGCGGAACATTTTGGAAAAAAAAAAATCGACGCGCGCGCTGACCAGAGACCGACTTATTTTTTTTTTGGCCTAAAGTACATCTTATTGACTATTAACTGTGAAAATTTCACTTAAATTGCATACTCTATTCCCAATTCATGTCCATTTCTAAATGATCACAAAACTTGGCTGTCCACCACTTAGCAATTACCGTGCTGCGAACTGATAAAACATGTACCCATTGAGGACAATGAAACATCCATCGTTTTCCCACCTCCATGAATGAACGAGAACTTGCAAAGGAAAATATACAAAAATCACCATCGATATTTTGAAGAAAAAAGAGAGTTGACTTGTTTCTCATATTCAAAACACACAACATAGTAACAATTTCTCTTGATTTCAATTATTAAAATCTCATTTGTATTTGAATACTTGTGTGTAATCTGTAATTCTCACTTAGCTCATTTAGCTTTCAAGATTATCGCATTCCTTGGACAGCTACACTAATGGGTTCTTTTTAGTAAAACATGCATAACTTTGGATGGCATGATCAAATTTAGTGATTGGGTTTTTTTCAGATGAGTGGAAGAACATGCTCTTTTCAGACATATTTCTTCGGTGTATCTAATTTGATTGCTTAAGTAAAAAAAAAAATCTTGAGTGCGGGTCACTTTTTTTTTAATCACCCTGTATAAACACAATGTGAACATGCATCTCTCGTACACACTAAACTTAATTGTCTTCATTTTCTATCATCCTCTTTTTTTCTCCTGTCTTTTCTTCTTGTGCCGTAGCCCTCACATTGAGTGGCATTTATGCCTTGTGAAGGAACGACTTGCATAAAAAAACCAATTACATGCACACAATATGCATGTTTAATCTGGAGCCAATCGTTAAAACTGAAACAAATTTAATTCTCAGATTTCATGTCAGTGCAAGTAGTGAAACTGACTTACATGCATCTGCTTTGGTTACAGGAACTGATACCACAAGATAGTCACATGCATTAAAATCCGACAGAAATGTTGGGGGGAAAAAGAGAGAAAAGAACAAGAAACTTTCTGTTTCAATTACACTTTGCTCAAGGTCTTACAATCCCTGTGAGTATAAATCTGGAGTGATCTTGAAATAGAGAAGAACATTCTTTGCTGCATTGAATAAAATGTAGCTCACGGAACTCAATGCTACATTGTGCATGAACTATGGGTGATGGCTACCAAAACAGCTCCACTCCATCAACTGGGTGGAACACTGAAGTTGAAAAGCATCGTGAGAACTTTTACATGAGCAGTGAAAGAGCTAATCAAATAACATGGTTAAGTGCTGAAATCATTGCACCAATCGGCCTCTTCTTGAACTTTGTCTTTCTCTTCACAGTCATTCGAGTGAAGTCCATGCGTTCAATCATCAACATCTACTTATCCAATCTGGCTGTGGCTGACTCGCTCTACCTTACGACTGACTTCTTATTCGCACTGTTTTCACCTATAGAGTACAAATTATTGGTCACAGCAATAGCAAGTGTCCGATACACTTTCCTTGCTACTTCTAATTTCTTTGTGGTTACCATAGCAGCTGAGAGATTCTCTGCAGTGTACAATCCTATAACGTTCAAAGAAAAAGCCTCTAAATCTCGAGCAGCAAAGATATCAGCAGGACTCTGGGTGCCAACAATTATTGTTGGTGTGATTCTGATTTTCTTACCATTAACAGACGCTGTCTCCACTAACGTCAACCTTGGGATTCTTTCCATTATCAACCTTGCCTCTTTGATAGCAACTCTTGCTTTGTACATCTATGTAGTACTGAAAGTGCGCAAGCAATCAGCCCTGTTTCCGAACCGTCCCAAGCGAGCAGGCAAGGTCCTCTGCATGGTTATCATCAACACTGCTGTTTTCTTCATTCTGAACTCACTGTACACTGCAGCTGCAATAATGACAATACATGTACTTGTAATGGCATCAAAGTATACTTCAACTTCTCAGATTGTTGCCTATCTGGAACTTGCAGAGAAAGTATATATTCTGGCTACATGCATTATAATTTTGCAACTGATCAATAGCTCAATTAATTCCTTAGTCTACAGTGCCACAAACACTGACTTTCGTGAAGCCGTAGTCAAGGCTTTCTCATTCCTGAAACTGTGCTGTCGTTGCTGCCCAAGACGGAATCCCAGCCGACCATCGCAGCCAGGGAAGCAGATTGAGCTTCGTGTGCTTCCACAGGCGGAAAATGACCAAGAGCACCGTGCTGCCAGGCCAAGCAGCAGCAAGCCACCAAACCAAGGGCACGCACAACACACAGCGAGTCAGCAGTCACTGGACGGTTGTCAAGAACAATGTTCCAGGCAAAGCAGCAGCAAGGCATCCATGCACAGTCAGCAGCATGTTCAAGTGCATGTTGAGGTACATGCAGAACCAGCAGGGACCCCAGCGCTTGCAAGTTTTCATCAGGAACAATGCTCTAGTCTGACTGACTGCAAGCCATCCATGTAAGGGGAACAGTGTGTGCATCCAGAACCAGCAGAGAGCCAGCAGTCACTTGCAAGTACTCAGGAACAATGTCCTGGCCGGCTGACTGGCACTGAGCCATCAGCACAAGGGCAGCAGTATGCACATCCAGAACCAGAAGGGAGTCAATCTTTGGAAAGTTGTCAAGAACAATGTTTTCTGGTAACTGATGAGTGCAAGCCGTCCATGTAAGTGGAGCACTGTGCAGTTGCTCTTGAACTTGAATTCAATGTGATACTTTAATGTAGAAACTGCTATGTGTACTTGTACAATGCAGAGAAATTTAGGTTCATCAATTACACAGAAAATCCCAAAGCTATAAAGTGAAATTGTTTGGACATTGTAAAAAGTGCACTTGAAAAAAAGAAAAAAAATAAGTACATGTAGTTGTTACATTGATAAATACAGGAGGCTTATATATTTCAATATTTCATTTCACGGGCCCTTTAATTTCTTAATGCCATTAAAAGACCTTGAGAAATTCCGACCATTGTTGGCAATAGGAACTCTCGATATAGCGCAAACTGTATGATAATTTAGGCGCGGATCCAGGGGTGGTCTGCGGGGGCACGTGCTGCCATCAAATTGAGTCAACAAAAAAAAGAAAAAAAAGGACAAGAAGAGGGGGAGAAGAGCGAGAAGGAGGGAAGGAGGAGGGCAACCTCCTTACAAATATACCGGCGCTGATATTAAACATCAGCCTGCAAACATTGTGTACTGGCTGTATGACACAGCAAGCTGGAGAGCCATTGGAACTCACCATTGGTCATCATTTTTTAAGTGCACTTTTAAGTACAAATTATACTTTTCAAGGAGTCCAAAACATTTCCTTGCTTTAAAATGAGTTCTTCAACGTCATCATATAATTTTTGTAAAGACTATATTTATAAAGACTATAAAAGGCCAGGAATCACCTCAGATTGCACCACAGAGCATCTATAATCCAAATTTCCCGCGCTCCCATATTTCTTGGAGCAAATGTTCCTGGATTTGCACCTGATTATCATTATCGAGGGTTGTAAGTATGGGAGCAAACTCACCGCAAATCCAAAATGTCTTGGGAGGTTTTGGATCTCAATCTTGAAGATCTCTGAGGTGAAGGGCTGTTGCGTCAGATAGTGATAAGGATCCGTTATGGAAGCGCCAGTCACCGGTCCGTCAGAGGTGCTGGTGGAATGGTTATCTTGTGGGTCAAGACCTGATGTACAAATGAACAGATTAAAAAAATGGATATGGCTGGAGCTATATTGTCTAGGTCTTAACCCATTACAATTACATGGGAACAATCTGACAATAGCCGTAGCCATAGCTCTAGAAGCCCGTTTCAGACACAGCCTAAGTAACAGATCAACAAAGTTGCAAGTTATGCATTAGGAGCATCTGATTCCAAATGTATACCAATCTTTGTGCATACATGTTGCACAATGTGGATAATTATATTTGAAGACCAAATAAAGTGCTGTTTTTTGTTCGAAGTTTCTTCAAAAATCCTTTAGCAAGGAGAAATGCATTGTATAGACTTTTTGCTGCAGAGCACCAATATATAATATATGAGACCATTGTAGGCTTTAGATGTACAGTATGGGATTTAAGTCTGGTGGATCAAAGGTGTCTTCACAGCTATGAGCTGGACAAAATGTAGTTGATAGTTAGAGTCAGCATTTTGTACTCCACTTCTGTCAATTGAGCGTGCAAGTTGACCTCAAAAACCTAGGTGATTTTACTAGGTTTATCCAGTCAAGGGCAAAGAATGGGTTCTGAACAAGAAAAAATCATTCCAATTTACAACACATTCAAAAAATATTGCAAGTTGATTACTATAGTAAATTGAAAAAATGTTGACCTCCACTTCCGTTCACTGGGTGAATTCAAACACGGGAGTCTGTGGCTAGACTAGTCAGTGTTTGGTACCAAGATGTTCACATGAAAAGTGAATGTGAACTGGCGAGACTTGCATGCTCTATAATTGTACATAATCTGTGTAGCACCACTAGTCTGTTGTATTACATTATGAGCTCCATGTCTGTATGATGTTTAAATGCAAAGCAATATTCTAATATTTCTCTTAGATGGACTCAAGGGTACTTCAAATTTGGGTAAATGAAAAATCAATGCTGTAAAATATGAATCTCGTTGTAAAATTAGCATCGTACAAGATGTATCTTAATTTGCACAGTATCCGAGGAATTGCTGCTTTTTATATGTTCATTAAAGCTGCTATTTCCTTGTGTAATTTAAAACTCTAAACACAAATAATACAGAAATGTACTATCACCAAATCGGTGTTTGATCTCTGACGTCTAAGTTCTGATACCCAGTAATATTTGAAGAAAAAAAATTGCAGGGCAAACCATGTTTCTAAAAGTCACATACTTTTTACAGGACAAACAAATTTGCGTGTAAAAGCAAGATCAGTGATAAAATAAATAAAGGTGTACACTAGCAACATTTAAATAAACAGTGATTTTCCTGAATTTTTTTATTTAAATGTAATTCTTGCTTGTACAAATGTAATTGTTGAAAAATCCCTATTGAGTAAAAGAGCTTGCTGGTCAATGTTGAAAGTGCCACAAAAGTAAGCCAACATATTGGTTAGCAAGGGGGATGACAAGGGTTTAAGCTTTTGTGGCTTGTTTCTTTCTTTTCAATAATTAATTCCTGACAGACATATTAGACAATGCACAATATGTACACCTGTCAATCTTTCTGTGTGCTGCATTCTGATTGGTTGGAATTGATCAGCATTAGCTACCAATAGGCCATGCCCCTCGACAGCCGATCCAATCAAACATAAAAGCTGATCTACGTCTTTTGCAAAAAGGAAACTTCAGAGGAAATACTTACCTTTGTAAGCGCCAAGCCGGAAACCAACAGTGTTATCTGTCAATGAAAATAATAAGACATGAAACTGAAACGTTTGCACAATTTATCCAGGGCCAAGTTTCATGAAGATCTGACAAGAAATTAGGGGGATAACTGAAAAAAAATCCTTGAGCTTTCTGTTGCGGTGTTCATAACAGGCACACTATGTACCAGTGTGCACACTTTATATCCAGGCAAAGGCGTACTTGTGAACGGAGCGGATACACACAAAAAATGAAGAGATTGGATAAATAAAAATAAATGCCAGTTTCACTCACCGATGCCATCTACACTCTTGCCGATGGTAAACTCATACTTGTTGCGATAACTCTCCAATACTGGCTGTGAGTGTGCAAACAAACAATGAAAATTAAAGGTACAAATCAGACATCTCTAATGTCAGGAATATTTACCCCACAAAAGATTCACATGCTGTATAGTTTATCTAACAAGAAATCCAGGTTGAAATATTAATTTAGTACAAGTAAGGTGTCTCTATCTATCTACCCGAGTTTAAAGATCACACCAGTCAAGCTAAGCTAACACTATGTGCCAAAGTGAACTATCATTCAGATTGAAATTCATAGAATCATTAACAATACTACAAATAAATTGAAATAAAATCTATATTTTTATCAACAAATATTTGTCACCTAGCTTACTCACCGATGGCTTAATTGGCTCCAACTCACATGCCATCCCACTGTGGCTGTTCCTGTCAATCAAATGAAGAGTGCACTATTAAACATGAGGGTGTGGGTTCGAATCCCACTCCAACAGGCTTGTGAATTTCTTGTGATAACCAAAGCAATATATGCACAAGATTCAAACTGGCCCACTAACCTTTGCAAGCTCTGTTATTGAGTGGTTAAGATGTCTGCACTAGTAAGCAGGAGGTCATGGGTTCATATCCCACCCAAGCAAGCTGGCAGAACCTTTGCTCGTAAGCTCTCGGACAGCACTGAATATACAGTGCATTCAAATTTACATTGGTGAAGGGCAAAACCAGGTATTCACATTCACAACTCCCCTAAGTAAACAATTAATTAAACTCATTGATTGTGGCACCTGCTATATCAGATTGGAACCAGCCAGCCAACCCCAGCAAGCCTGATGGTCAAGTAGTTAAGACATCTGCACTAGGAAGCAGGAGATTGTTGGTGCGAGTCTCACTAGAGCAGCTTATGAATTGTGAAGTTTTGGTTTTGTGTTCATTTTTTGCTCTTTGTTTGTAAACATTTTTTTACCAACCCCCCCCTTCCCTTAATCTTTGGGACTTTTGTGTGTGGAAAGGAAGTTTATTTCAGAAGTTGGTTAAACCTTTGCTGAGTTTTAATTGCATATGAATTCCTCAAAGCCAATTTCGACACTTAAGAAGCTTCAACAAATGCTGTGCATCTGCCCATACACCGCGTTCCCACTTGATTTGGAAAAAGGTGGATCAAGATCCGGCATTTTGGTGTGATCGTTATCTTACCGCAACGAAACCGCAAGTCGCGTTCCCACTTATGCTTGATCCACCTTTTCGTACGGAAATGTTGGGTCCGAAAGGTCACTGAGTTCGGAATTACGCGCGCTCTGTGGGAGTGCCATTGTTGCATGGTTGCATGCTAGGCCAGGATGGGTCAGTTTTCAAACAACACTATCAGAATTCACGGACAAAAATTACACGAATTCACCAACATAAATCACGGATCCGTAGAGGATCCGTGCGTGCATAAATTAAAAGGTGAAATCCAACAGAGCCGCTCACGTGTGATATCACGGCAGAAACCAATGCATCGATAAGGGATTCCCTGGTTCTGAAGCTTCTCATTGGTTAGAAACGGTCACATGATGTACTACGACATCATTTTCCAATTTTCTATAATCAATACTTCAGATTAGTCACCTCCGTACGTACCGCGTTATCGGCACTATTCTCATCGCATACTCGTAAGCTTTTCAATGATTCTGTGCCAAAGTGAAGTATTTTGGTGAGTGCGGACTCAGAGTCATTTATGGATGGAAAAATAAGTAAAATTTCAGGAATGAAAAAGGTTTAGTAATGGACGAACACGCAACAAAAATAAGGCCTATAGTGTAGTTTTAGGATACCACGTGCGCTTCTGCATGCGCGGTGCTAGCCCGTAGTTCAGCGGTTGTTTATTGTGCATGTTGTAAACGCTGGAAATGTTCACATGAGCTACACGCCTGAAAACGTGTTTCTTCGTTCATGAGACCGCAACATTTTCGCGCCACTCGTGCACCGGGCGGATGTTAACAGGTCAAATTGCCGGATCAGATCCACCTTTTGCGTTCCTATCTGATCGTGATCCGGCAATTGCCGGATCTGATTCACCAATTGGGGGATCTGTATCCTGGTCCAGAGGTGGATCAGAAAAGGTGGATCTGATCCTGATCCACCTTATAACGGTTAGCGTTCCCACTACACACAATTGCCGGATCTGATCCACCAATTGGGGGATCTGATCCGGCAATTTGGCAAAAGGTGGATCAGATCCCCCAATTGGTGGATCAAGTGGGAACGGGGTCATAGAGTTACGTGTGCCCTTATCTCATACAAGGTCTGTGAGGTGTTCGTTCATCCATGAAGAAGGGCAATGAGCTGATGGAATATCCCACTTTCAAAGCAGGGGTGGGGGAGTAGGCTGCATAAGAGGAAGTGGTTGTTGAACATAAACAATTGGCGACACAAGTACTGATATGGTGACTTCATTTATTACTAAAAAAAAATTATCTGCATGTATTCCTGTTTTATTTTATTTCATACACATCAAACAAGGCGTATGGATAAAAGACAATTATAACATGCAATATAAAACATCAAAATACACAATACAATTACAATGGCTATCAGGAACAACTAACATACGTACATATATATTCATACATAATTTTTCAACATAAAATAGTTCGAATTTGGTGGCAAAAGTAAGCTCTGGCAATGAGATAAATGTGGCTAAAGATATGGCAGCTCTGACTTCCTCTGATTGGGCGGTCTATTGTCTCAAATCACCACAGCTTTTGCTGTTGGCCACGTCTTCTCCGCCACAGCTTTGATGGGCTCACCTCTGTCAAGGGCACAATAGTCTATCTTTTTCTTCGTCCTTAATTCCATCGGATTCTAATAAGGAAAGAAAGGAATTAAAAAACATTTATATTTTATTTTTTCCTTTTCTAAACAGTAAATTGCGTTCCTTTTTGAGTTGATACCTCCAACCAAGTTCAAGTAGGCTGCCAAACATTACAGAAATATCTACATTTAATAATATTTAGTCAATAAAACGTGTGCAATTAGTGCACACCATTGTTCACCCACGTACAAACACTGTCTAATCACACCTAAACAAAAGTAGACTTGGCCAGAAATCACAGCGTGCCTTGCTCAAGCCACGCATGGCGTGCCAAGAAAGCTGCTTCCATCGCATAAGAAGCCAACTTTTACATCACAGTTACAATGTCTTCTGATAAAGTATCTTCATATTTTTTTAGATGCAGAGAATCTTTATACTGTAAGCCTGAATATCATATAGCTTTTAGAGTCCCTGAGGAATTGTAAAGGGGAGAACTTACCGGAGAGAAACAGCAAGTTGGCAGCACAACGATGGGAGTAGGTCGATTATCATCTGTTGATCGTACACGTTCCAATGCAGTTTCAAACAACGCTTCTGATTAGCGCAAAAACTTTAGGCTGAAATGGACGGGCTTTAACATTGGCCAATCAACTTCATTTTTACATCAGCTTTGGACAAACTCATGCTGTTTATTTTTTAGCTCGAACGAAAGAAATCGGTAGAGGGCGTCCAGAGTTGTGAGTTCATATGAGCCGCGTTGTGTGACACGATTTTTCGTGAACATCGTTTTTGCATTGTAAAATTGGAGATACCGACTGTTTGTACTTGAAAAATGACGGATCTTTAAAGTAATTAAAAAATAATCTAAACATATCATTAAAAAGAGGAATAATGAACTTGCAATTTGCCGAAAGAACGAACTTAAAAGCATCGAGGGTTCAAAATTGTGCGTTTTTTGAGGTTTTTTGGAGGATTTCCGCTTTGCACAAAATGCAGCGGAAGCCTGTCGCTTAGGTTGCGCTAAGAAATTCATATGTTCTCAAGAAAAATGAGGCATCATTTTCTGGACTTTTAACAAAATTTCAGGGCAGCTGTACATGTAAGTCCACTTGCCAGAAAACTGTGTCTGGAAACAGTTTTTTGTCAACGAAGATCACATTTCCATTCTAGCCCACAACCATCCCGTGTCTTTGGTGAGTAGCTCACCTTTGTTGCTTCAGCCAGGGAGACATCTCCCCAATGTTCCGTTGCAGCATCTTGGATAAATTCCTCAGAAACTCCCTGGTGTTGGTCTGTTTGGTGGATAGCTGGTTCTCATACGGCTGGTTCCACAGTGGAGTCACCGTGTTGTTTAACCTGTAGATTGGGAAAAGATGTGAAAAGCACATATTCAGTATTTCAGAGTCTTAACAAATTTTGGAAAAAGTGAATAGCTCAACTTCTAAGCCTTTTGCGATATGGCAGACACAATACAAGGGTGTTATTTGATTTGGGTATATTGGGGTAGGTTATGCAAAAGAGTAGACCCAGACCAAATAGTGCCCTCGTATTGTGTCCGCCGTATCTCCAAAGGGTAATGGATTGTGTGTGGAACTTGTCATCTTTCTACATACAACCAATCTCATAACTACAGTTCATAGTTCTGGTAGTGCATGTGCAAATTAAAGTTTAAGCTTGAAACAATGAGGGTAATGTGTTCAACTTAGACAGTTTATCAGATAAAATAAGAATCATCTGAAACTGTGAATCGCACACACACTCTACACAGACATGCAACCTTTAATGCTGTACCTTCTAGGAAAAAAAACAAGGAAAACTGTCCACATAACAGTTTTGCTCAACAAATGCCAGATGAGGTACTGAATTTACTTTAAGTTCCGTGCTATATTCGAGTTTCATCCCGAAAAACAGATTTCTTTACCAATCTGCTATTTTTCAAGCAATACAAAAGTTATTCACTTTTGAATGAAACACCAAACACAAAACAAGCTCATGTTTAGTTATTGAATTATTACTTTACAATTCCAAATTATTGGCTGCCAAACATTATTTCTGTTCTTGCTGGGTAGGTTGGTCCCCCCCCCCCACAATCAGTATCACTAATGTATGGACGGGAGCCAATCTGTTTGCAAAGCTGGTCATCAGTTTGGGCCAACAACAAAAAGAAAAGTTCATGGGTACTTTCTGAGTATAACATTTGATAGCAGAATTCAAAGTACACTTTCAATTTCAAGCAAGAGAGTGTAGGAATTCCATGGTTTCAAATCTTTGTTGATGCAGTGACTATTTGTATCTGCATTTTAAATGTCTTTCTTGATTATCCAAAGTCCAAATCTAAAGCTTGTGTCAAGTTTCTATATGCGAGTTATAAATAAATATGTTGTAAGCAAAACGTAGTGAACAACCTGAAAGATTTTGTGTCATTTTTTGATCTGCATCTAATTTTATTCAGTTACAGATGATCTTTTATGAGCTGTACAACTCTGTAAAAAGTGCAGAGTGCCATTTCACTTTTTTTAAGTAACCTAGATATGAGCAAAACCTTAACGACGGATTACACAATGTACATGTAAAAAAGTCTTGAAGAGAAAATAAAAAGTTATTCTGAAGCACATCCATGCCAAAGTCAACTGTGAAACTCTATTGTCTACTTTGGTTTAGTATGCATTCAAAACAAGGAACAAAGAACGAATCCTTACAAATCTTAGAGATAAAAAAACACTAAGGGGAAAAAATGCAGAAGCTTTTTGTTTCAACTACACATTGCTCCAGGTCTTATATTCGCTGTTAGTATAAAACTGGAGTGATCTTGAAATAGGACAGAAAACTCTTTGCTACATCTAAATAAAATGTTGGATATGGAGATCGATGAAGTTGAAAAGCACCATGAGAACTTTATCAAGACTCACAAAAGAAATTAACAAATACTATGGTTAAGTACTGAAATCAAAGCACCAATCAGCCGCCTCTTAAACTTGGTCTTTCTCTTCACAGTCATTCGAGTGAAGTCAATGCGTACAATCGTCAACATCTACTTATCCAATCTGGCTGTGGCTGACTTGCTCTTCCTTATGACTCAATGTATATTTGTATTGTGTTCATCCGAAGTGTACAAAGCATTCCAGAGTGTCAAATACATATTTGTTGCTGTTTCTAGTTATTTTGTAGTGATCATAGCAGCTGAGAGATTCTCTGCAGTGCGCAATCCTCTGACATTCAAGGAAAAAGCCTCTAAATCTCGAGCAGCAAAGATATCAGCAGGACTCTGGGTGCCAACAATTACTGTTGGTGTGATTCCGATATTGTTGCCAGAGACTGTCTTTAAAGACATCATTTTTTGGATTAATTTTGTTACCAACACTACCTGTTAAGTAGCCACTCTTGCTTTGTACATCTTTGTAGTAGTTAAAGTGTGCAAGCAATCAGCACAGTTGCCAAATTGTCCCAAGCGAGCAGGCAAGGTCCTCTGTATGGTTATCATCAATACTGCCATTTTTTTTTCATTCTGAACTCACTGAACGTTTCAGCTGCAATTATTTATACTCTGGGAACAACTTATACTTTGCCTGCCCAAGCTATTGAATATCTAGAACTTGCAGAAAATCTTCAGACTTATATCAATAGCTCAATTAATTCCCTCGTCTACAGTGCTGACTAACGCTGACTGTCGTGCAGCTGTAGTCAAGGCTTTCTCATTCCTCAAACTGTGCTGTCGTTGCTTCCCAAGACGGAATCCCAGCCAACCATTGCAGCCAGGGAAGCAGATTGAGCTTCATGTGATTCCACATGCAGGCAGAAAATGACCAAGAGCACCATGCTGCCAGGCCAAGCAGCAGCAAGCCACCAAGCCAAGGGCATGCACAACACACAGCGAGTCAGCAGTCACTGGAAAGCTGTCAAGAACAATGTTCCTTTTTCTCAGTGCTTGCACACACGGTACACAACGCATTGATGTTCGTGTATGAGGTAACTTTCTCTCGGGAGGTAAAGCCCCTGTCACACTGTCTGCGATCTTATGTGCGCTCTTACTGCGTCCTTGAAAAATAGCTGGGGCGCAAAAACAACTACTCGATCGCAGGGACAACTACATAGGTCGCCAGATGGGCGCCAGAGGGTCTTAATGGTCTCCGATGAATGCCAAAGTCTTTGAACATGCCCAAAACAATCGCAACACCTCTGCGCTCTGGCCAGGGCGCCGCAATAACGCAATTCGGACGCTGTGCGAGCGTGAATCGTGTGACACTGAAGTGGCATTGAGGCAGCCTAGGCGCAAGACAGTCGATGTAGTCTCCATGAGAAAGTAACTCGACTGCGATGAACTTGTAGAATAATTTTGAAACTGGACTGTGTATTGACCCTTTTGTCGTGGTATTTATACAGTGCAAGTGACGTCACATGAGCGTATTTTGGTCGAATAAGGAGCGACGCGAGCTACTAGGACGTATCAACAGCGAGCAGAGCGTAGTGTGAGCGCAGAGACAGCGACTAGATCGAGTAATTGAGCTTGACAGGGGCGCATAGAGAGCGAGTTGAGCGCATCGTAAGCGTGGGAAGAGCACAGTATGAGCGTAGCTTGAGCTTCTTTGATACAGAAAGTTGTCATTTTCTTGCGTCCTCGCTGCGATTGTTAAATTTATGAAATATATTTTTGGTCACCGTAAGGTCTCCTATGAGATCGCATATAATGTGACAGGCCCTTAACACACTGAGTAAACAGTGTATATTGGCGTATATTACCGTGAAACACCTTACTGGTAACGAGAAATGTTCACAGCATATTATCAAGAATAGAAACGTATTTTACTTTAAAGTAGGGAATTGTCAATACTTCCTGTGTCATCAGTAATGTGCAGGCCCAGAACAGATTGCAACCAACTATCAGTGTCACATTCCCTGGTTTGCCCCTCCCCAAGAAATATGACCCTCAGAAGTCCAGTACACCATCACACAAAATAAATTGTCAATATATTTGAGTGAATTGACGATTTATTTTGTGTGACGGTGTACCAGACTACTGAGGGTTATATTTCTTGGGGAGGAGCAAACCAGGGAATGTGACAAATGGGGACTCGTCTGGGAAATGAAAAAACAAATTGAGAAAAGCCGGTAGTCTCAGGTGTGTGGTTATACAGGATAGATGTTCAAGGTGGTTTATGGAAGCCCTTGCTAGGCAGCGTGCATTGAGAAGCCCAAATTGCGATGCCTATAGACAGATTGTCATGTCATGTTGGCGATTATGTAATGCGCACTAAGTCACATGGAACCAAGCTGTTTTTGCATAAGTTAGGTATTTCTGGAATCTCCCCTCACAAACGCACTTGCGCTTGGATTAGTTTGATAGTGCTTGTATTGTTCTTGTTCATAGGGCTATCTAGCTCAATCTGCAAGTCTGGAAGTAACAGAACAAACCGACGAAGAAACAGGGCAAGATACAAGAAGTTGCTGGGTGCATAACCAAAAAGTCATCGCTATGCGAATATGCAGGTCAAATAGCAGAAAATTTGAAACTGTCTTGTGGGCATGAAGTCCCCATGATTAGTGTCGCGTGTACAATTGGTGATCAAATTCCAGTAAGTGACGGGTATGTAGGCAACAAGACGGTTAAGGTTCTGCATGATAGCGGATGTAGTACGGTTGTCTTCAAACAGAGTTTAGTTAAGAAGGAACAAATGTTAGAACAAAACAAAAGTGTGTTCTTCTAGACGGAACACGGAATGTTTCAGTTGCGCGTATTGAAATAGATTCGCTGTATTTTGTAGGAACCGTGAATGCATTGTGTATGCCAAATCCCTTGTACGATCTTATAGGGAAACATAACAGGTGTTAGAGACCCGCGTGATCCAGATCCCAGTTGGTCAGGTAAACGAAATGACACACCGGAAAAGAAATGCCAAAGCCCTTGCGACGAGAAAACAGCTGCAGTTGAGACAAGAGCGCAAAAGCTAAAGAAAGTCACGAACTTGCGTCATCTTAAAGTTCCCGAAGTGCAAAATCTCTCCGAATCTCGTACGGAAATAATTAAAGCGCAACATGAAAATCCGTTGTTGGAAAAGCTATTGACCCTCGCGAAAACAGGTCAAAGCCGACGAACGGTTAAGGATAACGAAACTAGGTATTTCGTCTCGGACGGATTACTCTACCATGAATTCGCTTCACCGTCGACAGAAAACTATCGTGTAATCACACAGTTGGTACTCCCAAAGAAAATGCACTTGAAGGTATTGAAGCATGCACACAATTCCACCATGGCAGGGCATCTCGGTATCAAGAAAACAACAGACCGCGTACTTGCACATTTCTTTTGGCCAGGCGTGCAAGGCGACATCCGAAGATACTGCGTTTCCTGAGACATATGCCAAAGAATGGTCACGAAAGGTCGTGTCGGCAAGGTTACTCTAG